AAACCTGGTAATCAGTAATCCCAGAATCTCCTAAGGGAGGATGCAGCTAAAGGGCTTCCTTCATATTTGTGAACCCAGGCAGCTCCTGGGTTCAATCCCCAGTACTGAGAAGAAAAAGGTTGAGATTTTGTTTGTTTATTTATTTATTTATTTATTTATTTATTTATTGTATTTAGGGGAGGGTCTACAGGGTGTTTAGTGTCTCACTCCTATAGTGATCCGCCTGTTTACAGCCTCCTAAGAGCTGAGATTATAGGTGTGTGCAGCTGGGATTATAGGCATGCGATACCATGCCCAGTCTCAATTGCATCTCAATGGGCCCAAGGGGTGTGGCCAGCACTGTAGGCCCAGGGATTGAACCCCGAACCCCTATGCCTGCTTGCAGGTACTTTAATCCACTGAGCTATTTGGCGGGACCAGAAGTTTGAGATTTTTAAATGGTGGGTATATGTAAAAATTTTTCTCTTTACATGGTGGGTATACGTAAAAAATTTCTTATAATAAATTATTGAAAAAATATGAAGGCAGATTACAACTGCAAAGCAGCTTTCAAATGCTTGCTTTCTATCACATAATAACAATCAAAATTTAGTGGCAACTTTTCAGAATTCCTTTTAAAAGAATTTATTCAGAAAAAAAAGCAACATCTCAGGGTTGGCATCTCATCTTTTTTTTTACTCAAAAATTGGCCACAATTTACCATTTTGCTAATTTTACTAAATAATATGCTATAAAGGTTTTTTTTTTTTCCTCTTTCTAGAACTAAATTCTTTTTCCATACTGAGCAAATAAATGAAACAATAAGCTCTCCACTTGGAAGGAACTGAAAAAAAATTTTTTTTTAAAATTTTTATTTATTTATTTTGTGTGTGTGTGTGTGTGTGTGTGTGTGTGTGTGTGTGTGACCAGCTCAGCTCACCAGGGGGTGGGGCTGGCTGGCATGTGGTGCTGGGGGATTGAACCGAGGTCCCTGTGCTTTGCTTAGCTTAGCTTGTTCTAAGTAGGTGCTTTAGACCACTGAGCCATCTCACCAGCCCGAACTGAAAAATTTTTTGAAGAACACAGGCAGTGCCTGTAGCGGGGAAAAGAACCACCAGCGGCTACTGCCCACAGTGTGGGATATTTATTTAACTGCTCAGCCCCTATTCTAAGCCTGAGTGCCTGTTTCAGAAAACCAGTGCTAACAGCAACAGCTTACAGAGTTGCTGTGAGGATGAGCAGTGCCTACCACACTGGAATACTGTTGTTACTATTCAAATGTCATCATAGAAACACACACTGCTGAAACAGAGAGCAAAATAATACTAACTTACACTTAAACTAAAATATGATTCCCTTCTTGCTCATATGAGACAGGACCTTTATTTTTTTTATATTCAGAAACTTGGGGATTGGCTGACAAAGTGATTTCTTCTATGCTTGCACTGCTTGTCTCCTGGTACTGCACTGGAATTCTGTTTCCTCCCTGGATTTATCTGCCAGCTTGGTTACTACTGGTCATTTTTAAGGTGGTGGGAGGGGGAAAGGAATAAATTTCATAAGACCACATTTAAAACACAAAATGCATTTCCCTCATCTCTTCCTACCCCCCTCAATAATTTTCTTTATAGGGAAATGGAGACTTGTATTTAAATTGTATTGGTATACTTTCAGAGATTTAATGGTTACAAAGGCTTGCTGAGCTGAGCAGCACACCTGGCCACCATTTTTAACATTTCTTGTTTCTAAGAAAAAGCGCCTTCTGAAACCAGAGAGCAACGCTTGCTAGATAACAAACGTGAGGGTGCCTTGATCTTTGACTTCCCAGTATCCAAAACTAAAGAGAAGTCGGTTTCTGTGGTTTAAAAGATTTTGCCGAATTCATGCACCTACAATATTTAAATGACAATGGAATACCCTTCTCCGACAAAACTAAACAAAAGAGGGATACAAATGAACAACCATTTTGTATCTCTATATTCAAAATAGTTAGGATAGATATACAGCTACTTTCTCTTAATTCAATAAATAGATTTGTTCTCATAGTGTTTGTGGACAGGATATCGTGATTCCATCTTGTACAATGAATAACCACTAAGACAACAATATGCACTGTATTAATTATTGAAACTGTCCTATGATCAGTTTTGAAACTGTCTTATTGCTGTTTGTTTCTCAATAAAATTATTAAAAAAAGAAAAGAAAAAGCAAAGTCCAAACGAAGCTATGCAATTCAGATGTCTGCACAAGTTACTTCAAATCAGTGGTTCTCAGCAAGAGCCTCTCAAAAATGTGTGATGCTTTTTGCTTGTTGCAAAAATGGGGAAGGGGGAGCTAAGGGCACGTGTAGGGCCCTGGTAGGCTGCAGTGCTCAAAACTGCTCTTGCCAGGGAAAGCCATTCTTCTTATCCACAGTAGTTTGAAGCGTCTTCCAGATACCAATGTTAGTTAAAAATTTGCTTGCTGCTATCCTAGCCTTACTCCATTTTTTTTCCTAATCATTTATTTATTTGGTACAGGGTCTTGCTATATAGTTCAGACTTACAGTGATCCTCCTGTCTCAGCCTCCCTACAGCTGAGATTATATGTGCCATTATGCCCAGCTTTGGGGCTGGCACAGCACACCCAGCATTCCGGGTCAGCATGGCATGCAGTACTGAGGATGAAACCTGGGTCCTTATGCTTTCCAGGGAGGCACCTAGACCTCTGAGCTATCTCCCTAGCCCTCCCCCCCCACTCCATTTCATATGTGAATCTTAAGCGTGGCTACTGTTGTATTCACTGCCTCTGTCAAACACACAATTTCTGAGGGCAGAAAGTACTTTGGGAAATAATCACAGTGCCTTCATCGGGTATCTAGTTTTATATACCTTTCTTTTTTGAGACAGGGTCTGAATAAGGAGTTTAGGTTAGCCTTCAACACACTATGTAGCCCACGTTGGCTCCACACTTGTGGTGATCCTCCTGCCTGAGCCTTCCAAATGCTGGGATTACAGGATGTGCCACTACACACGGAGTCAACACATATCTTCATCAGTTTTCATTTTTAACTATCCTATTCATGGCCATTCTATATAAAAGTAGAAGGGCCTACTTTGTCCAAGTCTTTACATACTAATACATATACTATTTAAAGACGGTTTAACTATGGATTACTGTCCTTTCTCATCTTTTAAAAAATTTAGTATACTAAAGTATTTTAAAATTACATACATATGGGGCTGAGCCAGACCAGCTCCAAAGTGCTTTGCAGCTATAATTGTTACTTTGACACAAGGTCACATTGGGACAAAGTGAGTGGTTCCTACCACAGTATTCCACAAATGTGACTGAAGGAGAGGTCGTTGCAGTGTGGAGCAGCCAGGGTCTCTGGGCAGAGGTCTCCAGCATGGGGGCCTGGCCAAACCTCGCCCAAAACCTGGCAGAAGAGAAGCTCTGTGGGATCGCTCTGGGCACCCTGGCTCCTTTCATCCTGCTGTGTGCTGCTTCTGTCTCATAAACAGCACTTTCTAAAACAATGGGTTTCTTTTTCCCCCTATTATAATTGCATAATTCTTGGAGAGAAAAATAAGACAAGAAAAGTAAAATCATGATTATTTCTACTACCTAAAAAAAAAAAAAAAAATTACATACATAAGGAAGTTTTTAGCATTTAGGAATTTTTTTTCTGAGGACTGAAAAAGGGATATCATAAAATACTTATTTTTTCAACAGTAAGTGGGATCCACTAGGCTGAAAACCACTCCTATAACAGATGACTTATTTGTCTATGTATCCTTAAACAATCCAAGGATAGCATTCATCAAACTCCTATTGAGCCATACATTTTGGTCTGTATCTTTAAAAGGCCAGCTTTGTAATAAAGTAGTCATATTATACATATTTCAAATTTCTCCTACATAAAACATCTAATTACCAAATATCAACAGGATATACAAGAACTAGGATTTTAGTCCCTTACTTCTTTGGCATTAAAACCATATAGCCAGGTAGCATGGGATGAGTACTGGCCTACATCTCAAGATGCAAAATCTGTTCCCATTCTTGCCTCTTGAGTGTAACCAGCACAATCAGAAATTTATTCTTTCTTTACAAAAGGCCCTAAAAATGAAAAAGTACTCCTGTAAGACTATCAATTCAGTTAAGGTGTCTCATTAGCTTTTAAGGCTGAATGTCAGTATTACCTGGTCAGAAAGCCGGCTTGCTGCACGCTCAATTTCTGCCCTAACAGCAATGGATTGGCCACACCATGGGGCATAGAAGAACAGCAGTACCACTTCTGAATCCTGGCGAATGTGCTCTGCATAGTCCAGCTGCCCCTGGAAGAGGTCAAGAACCGGAGACCTCGAGGAGAAAAAGCTGACTGGTGGCTTTGCTGGTATTATCACATCTTTTGCTCGACTACAAAAGAGCAAACACAAACAAGATTGCTTAGTTTATCTTCTAACAACAGTTTTGTGTGGAAAGAGAATGAAGCTTAAAAGAAAAATCCTCTTTTGAACAAGAAAATAGAATCCCCAAATCACTGTCCTTAAGTAAAAATGAATATACTTTGCTAAGGCAAATCTGGCCAACTTTGCACATATGAGCAATTTTTTGGAAATGATTTTCTGGTATTCTCTACCCTGGGGGTCTGGAAGAAGAGGGAAAAGAAGGCAATTTGGAGTCTTGCCTCCTACACTCCAAAGATTCCATCCTCACCGCTCTGCGGCCTGGTTCTCTACTGAACTCGCTGGTCTCCAGGGCTTTAGGGCCATCATCTCTTGAGCTCAGGAGTATGGAGAGGGACCACACATGCCATCTCTAGCAAGATTTCTATGGGAGATGCTTATAATTGATTAAACTTTGAGAAAACATTAAGTTTATTACTTAGAATTGGCCTGTACTTACCTAAAGCATCCAGGCAAAAGTAACAAAGAACATATTTTCTCCAAATGTATCATAATCTAATCTAAAGAGTAAAAAAGGTACACAGCAAACCAACAGTCTATTTAACTGGAAAACAGGCTCTTTGAGTACCCCAGATCCCACCAAGGAAGAGGTCAGGAGGAAAAAGAACACTGAACAAATGGCCAGATGTCAGACTAGCTACCACATTGCCACTAACACACGCAGGTTATAACTGGTGTGCTATCCCCCCTCATTAAAGGAACCTACTAAACACTTTCAGCTATCCACATATCTGCACTAATACAACATAAAACCCTAATAGCAGTTTAGTTAGGAAACAAAGAATATAAAAAATGGAACCCTAAAAGAATCCCAGTTTAAGCCCAAAGGGCAGAAAAGGACCAACAGAAGAACAAAGCCCAAAAGTACAAATGGCAAAAGGTAGTCAGGATTTTTAAAGTGAAAATCATATCAATAATTACATAAAAATATATTAAATATAAAAGGACTTTGAAAAATCAATTAAACAAAAAAGACTGCCAGAAATCATAGAGTAAGACCCAACTATGTACTATCTAATAGAGATACATTTTAAGTATAAAAACATTGGAGAGAAGCACAAGGATGAGAAAAGATAAAACCATGTTAACAATAAGGGTAACAAAACTGACGTGATTCATCAGATGAAAGGATATAGTTCCATCCCCATACCAAAAAGATAAACTGGCATAAAATCATTACAATTATTACTCCGAAATTAATAAACAGGGCTGGGGAGATGGCTCAGTAAAAGAAGAACGTCCCCGGCAAGCGCAAGGGCCTGAGTTCAATCCCTGGTTCCACCAAAAAAACAAAACAAAAACAAAATTAATCAACAAAAACAAAAGACCAACTTAAACATACTACAACTTGAATAAATTTCAAAATAATTATGGTGAGTAGAAAAGATAGACACTAAAGAGTACATATATGAGGCAAGGGGATCAAAAGTTTGAGCCCAACTGAGCAATTAGCGACTCAACAAGACCCTGCTTTAAAATAAAACAAAAATTCTGCAGGGCCAGCCAAATAGCTCAGCGGATTAAAGCATCTGCTTAGGCAGAATGCAGAGGCTGGGGTTCATCCCTGGCATGCTGTGCCAGCCCGGCCCTAGCCCTGGGGCGCACTGAGACAGCATTGAGACTGGGTGTGGTGGTATGCACACCTGTAATCCCAGCTCTTGGGAGGCTGAACACAAACGGATCACTATGAGTGCGATCTATATAGTAAGATCCTGTAGACCCTGTTCTAAAAGACAAAGAAAAAAAGAGAAAAAATTCTGCTTAGGCAGACGCAGGGGATGGGGGTTCAATTCCTGGCCTGCCATGCCACCTCCACCCCTGAGGCACACTGAGGCATGAATGAGACTGGGCATCATGGTGAACTCCTAGCACTTGCGAGGCTGAAAAACAAGAAGGATCACTAACAAGTCTGATCTGTGGTGAGACCCTGAACTAAATGCAAGCATACATACTTATATACATACAAACAAATAATTAAAAAGGGTTGGAGATGTAGCTCAGTGCCTTTGGTTCAATACTCAGAATAAAAACTTCTTTAAGAGAAAAAGGGGTGCTACATATAACATGACTACATTAATACAAAATAGCAAAACAGCTGAAAGTGTTAGAAGTAGAAATTTAGCTGACTCAGTAGTGGCACAAGCCTGCACTCCCAGCACTTTGGAGGCTGAGGCAGGAGTTGCAGAAATTCAAGACCAACCTGGGCTGCAAAGTGAGCTCAAGGCCAGCCTGAACAACAGAGGAAGACCCTGTCTCAAAAGACAAAAATAAGCAATTAAACAGAAATTTAAAGCTGGGTGTGGTGATATACACCTATAATCCTAGTTCCTAGTATAATAGCTAAATTAGGTAGTAGTACTATATAGATAGACAGGGCTGGACCTTACAGAGGTCAATGCAGAAGACAACTGTGGCTGGAGGCACACTGACTTCAAGAAAGAGAAACTATTCACCCATATACTTCCCTTAGGAATGAGTAACAGTGATTGATATTCTATTCCTCCTCCTCCTCTTCCTCCTCCCCCTCATCCTTGTCCTCCTTGTCCTCTTCATCTTCGTCTTCTCCATCTTCTTTGCAGAACCAGGAATTGAACTCAGGCCCTTGAGCTTGCCAGGGAAGCACTTATTCCACTGAGCCATCTCCCCAGCCCCTTGATATTCTAAATAGACATCCATCACCTTGTGGTAGATGACCAAACCTCCTTAATCCACCCCTTCCAGGAAAGTTCTTGTTTATCCCTTGTGCACTTGCCATGTAACTTGTTTTTCCATTTGCTCTCCATTTAATCAATATTACCCAATGATACTTGTGGCAATCCTATGGTTAAAAAGTTTTATCTCACCTCACCTCATCCATCCTATGATTTTCCATTGGATCAGTTATTACCTAGGGGCCAGGGAGCTAGCTTAGTCAAATAAGTGCCTGCCTGGCAAGCACAAGGTCCTGAGTTCCATCCCTGGTACCATCAAATTACCTAAGCAACTATCCTTGTAATTTTACTGATTGACTAAAGTTCTATCCCATCTTAAGTCCACCTCACTTCAAGACTTTACTCAATAAACACCCCTGAGATGCAGGTTTGGTGGGCCTCCTTCTGATCCTTTTTGAGGCTAGATCTTTTTTTTTTTTTTTTTTTTTTTTTTTTTTTTGGTGGAACCAGGGATTGAACTCAGGTCCGTGCGCTTGCCAGGGAAGCGCTTATTCCACTGTGCCATCTCCCCAGCCCTTTTTGGTTTTTTTTTTTTTGTTTTTTGTTTTTTTTTGGTGGAACCAGGGATTGAACTCAGGCCCTTGCGCTTGCCAGGGAAGCACTTATTCCACTGAGCTATCTCCCCGGCCCATTCTGGTCCCTTTTGACAGAAACTTTCTTTCATTCAATTCTTCCTTCTCTTAACCTCCACTGTTCTACAGTTCATTCCACGATTTTTGAGAACACCAACTTGATGTTTCAGACACTTAGCTAGTTGCAAATATTTCCCTTATAATCACCAGTACTCAGGAGGATGGGGCAGGAAAATCCAAAGTTGAGGGCTAGTTGGCTACATAAGACCTTGTCTTAGCCTGGCATGATGGCACACTCCCAGCACTTGGGAGACTAAGGCAGGAGGATCACTGCAAATTCAAGGCCAGCCTGGGCTACCTGGTCAGACTATCTCAAAAAACAAACAATACTGACTTTAAAAATAAAAATATAATTTATTCATTTAAACATTTTAACCCTTCAATTTATGTACAGCCTTTATGTAAAATTTTTTTTTTTTAATTTTTAAAATTTATTTATTTACTTATGTGTGTGTGTGGCCAGCTCAGCCCACCAGGGGCGGGGCTGGCTGGCATGTGGTGCTGAGGGATTGAACCGTGGTCCCTGTGCTTTGCTAAGCTTGTTCTAAGTAGGTGCTTTAGACCACTGAGCCATCTCACCAGCCCCATGTAAAATATTTTCAAAATCTGAAAAACTCAATCACTTCCATAATTATTCAAAAAATGTTTCTTCAGCAACTGTTCCCGTGCTTTAGTAACATGTTTATTCAGGCCCAGGAACTGAAGTTATAGCAGCTCCTGTCCAGTTTACTTTCTAAGGAAGACCAACAAACAAACATGTAAACAATTAACAGTAAAAACCCAGAAAATGCTGATTGCTGTGAGGAGAGTTAACAATGTTAGAGTAACAGGGCACTTCTGACGGGGTGGTGATCAGGATATATGATTTAAACAGGTACCTGAGCTGCTCGCGGTGGTACATGCCTATAATCCCTGCACTCAGGAGGCTGAGGCAGGAGGACTGATAGGGTTCAAACCCCCCACCCCCCCTGATACACAGTGAGCTAAAAGTTACCCTGAACCATACAGTGAGACCCTGTGGCAAAAACAAACATGGGCCTGTAAGATAGCTCAGTGGACTAAAGTGCCTGCTTAGGCAAGCTTAGACAAGCACAGGGACCACAGTTTGATCCCCAGGACCACATGCCATGCCAGGCCTGCCCCCAGGGTGGGCTGAGCGGGCCACAGGGCAGGTGTGGTGGCACATGCCTGTAATCCCAGCGCTGGGGAGGCTGAAAGCAGGAGGATCACCATGAG